CTAACCATAGCATCATCATATTCAAACTTTTGTTTTGTTAAATTATCATTATGTGCATTCTTGGCCTCAAAATTTTCAATCATGTTCTATATCCTCAAGATATCTCCTTGCTGGATCATCATCTGTTCCATAATTTTCTGGAGAGTAGGGGTACTATAAGTAGAAGGTATATCCCTACTCCTACTTCCTATTCTCCATCCAACATGAGATTTTAGTTTTGATAGCACCTTAAAAATTTGAAATTAATATAGTAGACTTTTTATTATTATTATTATGAAAATATTAATTTAAATTAACATCCCGAATTTAAACCTTCCCCGTGGGATCAATATTTGGGGATTAAACAATAAGTATTATATTACTTGATAACGATATGCATACTTGCGTAGAATCCCAACATAAATTGCTTCAATTTCTTATTAATAAATAGTGAACCAAGTTTTTGGCATCGCTGCAAAGTAGAGTCATCTTCATTAATTTTACACAACTATAATTTTTTAGATCATAATACATCCCAAATGAATTTTCATGTTTCTAATTGCAACTCCTTAACTTTGTAATTGACTTCCCATTTGCAATATTAATTCTTCCATTGACAATTTCTTCTCCTTACTCTTCAAATTACTATTAAAATATGGAGGTTAATAAGGTTTATAAGTTGGATTTCCTTATTTGTTGGAGTTTCTCAATCGCAGCATTGTTCCCCCATTGTAGATTTGCATTATTAGAGTTATTATTACTCCAACTGAAATTTGGATGATTTTTCCAACCAGGATTATAATAATTGGAATAAGGATTGTTAGAATGATTATTTATTGCATTTAAAGCATTTAATTATTTATTGCATTTAAAGTCTCATAAGAAGATTGAGATTTTATCATTTGTCCCAATGAGTTTTTCGCAAGTGCATGTGGTCTCTAAGAATAATTCATTCCATATTGATCTATTTTTTTTTTTATATAACAGCTATTTAGGCAGCCAATATAGGTATTGCATCCGAATCATGAATACAAGCAACTCTATTTGGATTTACCCTTTCAGAGTGCCATGAAAAATTATTAGTATCCATCTCTTCAATTAACGAATACACTTCATCGAATGGTTTAACATTAATGATCCACTAGCAGCAGCATTAATTATCGATCTAAGAGATCCAACCAATTCATTATAAAAAATTTGAATAATTACCAATCTGGCAACGCATGGTGTGGACACTTCTTAAGGAGATCTTTAAATCTTTCTCAAGCTTCATAAATTGATTCCTCTTCAAACTGACAAAAAAATGTAATATCATTCTAAGCTTAGCAGTTTTCTATGATGGGAAATATTTAGATAAAAATTTTGTGATAAGTCTCCCCAAAATTTGATAGATCCAGGTGCTAACAAGTTTAACCACATCTTAACTTCATCCCTTACTGAGAAATGAAAATGTCTAAGTCTAACGACATCATTCGACACTCCATCATATTTAAATATAGCACACATTCTAGAAATTAGCAAGGTGCAAGTTAGGATTTTCAGATGGTGTTCCTCCAAACTGATTATTTTGTACCATTTGGATAATAGTAGATTTAAGCTCAAATGAATTGGTAGCTACAATAATAGCTACAATAAGGTTTGTATACTTAAATGAATTTTATCTACTGTAGGATTAACATAATCCCTTAAAGGTCTCTTAAAAGATCTATGATGATGTTCATTTTAATTTCCAGAATTATTTAAAATTGCAAGTCAATTTGCTAAAATTATCTATTACTTTTTGTGTTTTAGAATTTTTCTAATTGTTCTTTCTAACTTTGAATCGTAACGTACTAAATTTTCAGATCTTAAACTATGCATAAATAAACACAATAAGCAATTAAAATAAGCAAACACTCTAAAAATATGAAAATATTCAAGTTAAACAACAATAAGTTTTTCAATTCAAATAAAATGTTTTAAATTATAAAGTAGTTTAGCGTTACTCCCCTGCGACGACGCCAAAAATTTGATGCACGGTTTGTTGTGTGTCACTTTTGTAAATATTTTTTAATAGTCTAAAAGACACATGACAACACTAATAATAAGTATGCAATTCAATCCCAATAAATATAACTTTAGTAAAAATAATTTTATCTTTTAAAATCTTTAAACTGTCAAACCCGTAATAATAACACAAGTATACGTATAATTGAGCCCTAAGTATTGATCCCACAGGGAGTTGGAAATTGTTTTGGCTATAATATAAAACACAAAATTCAAAATACAAAACTTAAATACGAAATTCAAATCTAAAGTAATTGAGTGTATGCTAAATAAAATGCAGTTAAAAGAACTAAGTTAACTAAATTATTTGTTGAACTTCAAAAGTAAACTAATAAAAACTAAACAAAGTTTCTGTGACAAAGAGTTCAAATTTAAGAAAACATCATTTCCCTTTACAATGAGTATATGAATTGTGAAGAAATTAAAATTATATATATATAATTGTATTGTGTTAAATAGAAGCAATCTTATTCTTTACCATTTTCAAGTGTATAAATCAATTGTATAAAGAAAATTGACTAATCCAGATTTTGGTCCCTAACTTTGTGCTTAGATTGGGAGGATACCGGCTTTCTCTCCAGAGCTCCTACTTCTCCCTCGCCTGAGAGCTAACAATCTTACATTAGTTTGTAATCAAGTGGACCAAATTGGGGATTTTAATATGTCACCTTAAATTCTCCAGTTTTGCGTCCAACAAAAGTATATTTCTATATTTATTTGAACTAAATCCCATGGATTACGTTCTCACCCATGAAATTGAATGTGACTCTCACAATGTTGTAGCAATCATAGCATTTTCAGATCATATGTTTCTCAACACAATTTAACATTTCAATTGGTTAGATAAAAAAGTTAATGAAGATCAGAGTTCAAATCATCACAAATTATTGAAATTTAAAACCGTATAAAACAAAATAAATTCTGCACAAAACCATATCTCAGAGTAGGGAGAAGAATAAAGAAAATTACTCAAAATTCATGAGAAGGAAACAAAAAAACACGAATTTCATATATAAAAATAAGTTTATAAAACAAAGAAATAAAAGACACAACTTATCTCACACTCCTTCCCAAGAAAATCCCTAAAATTTTCCTTTAAGAACTTTCCCTCTTTACAAGCACTCTCAATTCTCTCTTAGAAATTTAATGAAGAAGAAATCACTCACTTTCTTCTCCTCTTACAACCCTTAGAAGAAAACCTCCAAGTCCCTCACTTTATCTCATGCCTCCTCTTCTCTCTCACGCCACCACCAAAACTCTCTCTGTCGCCTCTCTCACAACTCTGGACTCAGTCTCTTTTTAATTAGGGGATGCCTCCTCTAATAAAGAATTCAAAATTCCCTCCCAAATTCTCTCAAAAAGTCAAACCTTTTGAATCTCAAAAGACATGCCCATTCATTCAAGAGACATATCCCTTCATTAATGAGCCTTCCAAAGTGTCTAGATGCATGGAATCACTCCATGGAGCATTTGAAACATTTGAAACCGTCAAAATCTGCTCAAAATTTGTCTCAAACCACCTTAATCCATCAAATATCGTCTCTGGCGCTTCTGGCGCCAATTCTAACGTCTCAGACGCCAAGTTACTTAAGTCCGCGCTGTTCTGGGTTCTAGCACTTCAGGCGTCGATTCTGGCAGATTGCATAAGTAAAGTAAACATGAAATAATAAACCATCACAAGGAGAAAGGAATGAAGAAATACTCAATTTTCATGAAGAAAACAAACCAACACATTGATTTATAACACATACAAGTATTACACAATGAAAATTAACAGAATACAAATCAAAATGCAAAGAAAACATATCTCCTTTACTGAAATCTGAAATAAACTTCAAGAGAATATCCAAGTTCTTCTAGCACTTTTACACCAATCCTTGCAGAATTCATACAATACCCAAAGGAAAAGAACAAAAAATAGAAGAAAATCTCACTCTCTCTTCAAATTCCTGCACTTTAACCTTCAGAATCCTTCTCCTTCTCTTCTCATGTATGTAATGAATCTCCTGTTAATTTGGCCCCAATTTGTATGAAAAATTGCCAAAAACTGCTCTCAGTAGTTTTAGCACCTAGGCACCACCTTCTTGGGAGCCATTAAATCTAACAGACGCCTAGGAATCGGTTTCTCTATAAACTGGTGCCTAGGCGCCATATCAAAAGATTTCTCTTTAGCATATTTTGTTCCATTTCGCTCCATTTTCACTCCAATTCTATCATGTTTCTTCTCCTGTTATACCAACATTCAAAAAACATGAAAATATCTTCCATTAAAGTACAATATCATAAAAAATTAAGTACAAAAATACGTAAGAAAAACACACCTTTAAAGGACATGTCAAATTCCTGGGTAGAAATCCTACATATGAACTCCAGTTCGGGCTGTGCTCTAAGTGCATTTGCTTAGACGGTTCTATTGGCTTTGATGATTGCTTTGGACAACGCCAATATGCAAGGTATGCTTGTCCAGCGCACCACATCTATTGGGGGTTCATTTATTGACCTCATTTTTAGTGAGGTCAAAATTCCTCTTTTAGAACTTAGGATCTAGCCATATGACATTCCTATTGACTATCCTAAAAGACTAGTGATGCCAATTTGCTAACCTAAATCAAAGCCAAATTTAAAATGAAATGAAAACCTCATAAGATGAATTTAAGACTCTTCGGCCCGAGTTGAGTGACTCGTTCTCGAGAGCGTTTTGCTAGATTTTGATCGTCGCTTAGGTGAGGACCTATAAACATTCTGTTTATCGAAAGACTCCCTTCAGATTGTTGAATATCAGTTGCCGCACCACACGCAAATTAGGCTTAAATTAGTTTGATCACGGACTAACTTTTAAATGCTCTTGGATGACGAAATGGACCACACGAGCACCTACGAAATATAGATTTTTTACATCTATTTTGTTAGTAGATGAAGGAGCGAATAGCATGATAATCCATACATTAAAAAAAATCTCTTCATTTAAACCTCACAACACTCGCAATCTTGCCCGCTCATTCGGTCGATACCCCGGCCGACGCTTCCATAGTATAAGCCTCTCTACTCTCGACCGAAGTTTCTTCCCCTTTCTTCTCCCTTGGTTGCGTAGCCGGCCGTCCTCGCCGGCGAGGTCTCCTTCCCGCTTCATCTCGTCGTGATAGAGTGCCGGCTAGGGAGACGAGGACGGATTCCGGTCTTTCTTGCTCGTTCTTTCGGTAATCTGCTCGATTTCTCGGTGTTCTTGCTCGATCTTCGATTTTGTGGGTTGCTTGATACTCTTGCTGATTTGCTCATCATTCCTGTTGGTTGCTCGACAGCTTGCCTTTTGCTTTAAAAAAATTTCTTTTCCGGTTTGCTCGTTATTCCTCTCTTATGCTCAAAGATTTTGCTTGGTTGCACTCCTTTTTTATGGTTTGTTTACTTTAGCTTTGCTTGATGTTAGAAAGTGGTGAGCTCAGTGTAGGTTGGAGGTAATGCAACTGCTAATCTATTGCAGAAATCTTGAGGCTGCTCTCTTTTTCTTGAAAGAATTTTTTTATGATCTTTTGATCAGTTAGGATTGGTAAATCCTACTTGTTTCTTGTCGTGCGAAGTACTGAGTTAGCTAAACCTAGATCTACTGTGATAAAAATATAGTCCCGCTGTTTCTGTGATATGTTTGAAGCAGCAAGGCAGTACCCTTCTTCATTCTTCCTCCAACCCTCTCTTCGAGCAGTGCATATTCACAGCATACGGTTTGTTTTTACCGTTTTATGTTCATACGGACTCCATGCTATACAAAGTTAGTGATTCTTTTGGGTTATTTGTTGAGGATTGATGATATTGATGCAATGTTTTCTTTTTTGTTGTGTTAAAAAGTAAGGAAAAAAAGACTTAATTCCTGTTTCTGTTATCTCACATTTGTCTATTTATTTACATGTGATTTTGTCAAGAGCCTCATTGCTTAGCAAGGTTTTTGAGAATAATAATCATGTCTGAAGTGGCAGTCAAGCTATGTGGCTCAATATTTGTCTTTCTGAAGGTCCGTCATCTTTTTTCTTACGTGAATATTCAATAACCAAATAAAACAAGCAAGTGTGAGTTGTATGTGATCAACTAGGTGGTTATGTTCAAATTTCATTGAGACATTTACATATATTGCACACAATTCTTTTTATGTAATCACATATCTCACGTCTAAACTTTCACATTTACATACATACCACCCAATTCTTATACATTGGCAAAAAGCTTTGAAGGCTCCTGGTTTTGAGCTTAACTGTCTACAGAAACTTATTAGTAAAAAAATGTATTCATGAGCTGCTTGGAATGCCCCATGCTATTGAGGGTAATCGTCGCTTCCATAAGCCCTTAAAAGTGTATAGGTTCTGATTCCCTGTCTTGGTTTATTTCCTGTTGATTTCTGAAAAATCGAATCTGCTCTAAAATCTCAGATAATAAGGGCATGACTTACCTCACATTTACTTTTGTTATTCTTGATAATTTGGGTGAAACATGTTGGATACTTGGAAAACTAGCGTATTTTTCTGGATTGCAACGACATTGATCTCGGCTTCCTTGGCTGTTATATTTTTCCCTGATCTTCTTAACATTGTCAGATACTAGTAGTTTCATACCGCGAATTTCATCATTGTGTATTTTGATATTTTTTTTTTATGGAGTCATGCAAAAAAAATCTTTGTTGTAAATCTGAAATTTATGTGGATGAGCTCTTTGGTAGGTTGGTTTAATTTTATCCTTGTAAGCCTGCTGAAGTTAGCTTTCAATTACATAGAATATGTGGATTGGACTCTTTAACAAGCTGATTTAGTTGTTATCTTTGTAAGCATTGCTGAAGTTAATTTAGAGTTACTTAAAAAATGCGTGAATGGAGATATTTTGCCTATACAATTTAAATCCCTTTGAATTATGAAGTGAGAATGAATATGGGTTATGTTTGCCTCGCCGACTGCTTTGCCGAATGTTGTACTGTCATTTGCTCTTGAACCGGATTGGAAATCTGTCAAACCCTAGAACTTGGATGAAGGGAAGAACATATAACACCATTTTGTTCCTTGAAATATCAGATATGCTACAATTTTATGGAACTGCTAAGCACATGGGGAATGTATTCAAATTTGCGTCTAGAGGGAATCCTAAAGCTTATTTTGCTGGTTTTCAGGATTTTATCTCCCAAATTTTTCCAAAAAAAAAAAAGAAAAAAAAAAGAAATGATGATTTCGATGTAAATATTTAAATAACCTTGCTGGTGAAGTTTACTTTGGGGCATTTACATACATAGCATTCTTACGTATTTAGATATGCAACACCTAAATTCTAATATTTACATGCAACTACACCCATTTCTTATCTGTTTACATATCTAACATCTAAAGCTTTATATGTCACATCCTTTCAAGAAAAAACTCGGATATGGATAAACTTTAAATTTCAACTAGAGTTTGCATGTACTAGCATTGAGTTGTTCTTCTATGCAAATTTATGCGATTCGTTCTTATGTTATGTTGTTGATCATTTGAGCATTTGGAAAGTTTGATATGCAACACACAATTATCGAGTATTTACATATGTAATACTGGGACTTGGGAGTTCAAGTTACAAGTCCTTTCGATCATGAACTTTAATTTCTTCATGTATGCACCCCTCATGCACATGCAATTGAGACTTTTTACAATATGCAAATTCCCGGGCTTGATATACATTTAATCAACATTTTTGAAAATTGTATTCATATATTCGACTTGCGTATAATTTCGTGATCATATATTCAATACTTAATTCTCATATCAACTTCTTTAGTGCGCCTTTGTGAGGTAAACTCGGATATGATTGAGGCATTTGATGATCATGAAACTACCCTTAGAGCAGACAATAATGGACGACATCATACTTTGTGTTGGTGAACAACCTCTCTCTTCTACGTGGCGTTATATGGATCATTAGAGTAAGGCTATAAGTTGGAACGTTTGGGGTTAAGGGCGATGATAAGAATGCTTATTTGTGCTAAGAGGGGATATTAGAATAGTATTTCCTACCTCAACGACCTTTGGTAAGGGAATAAAACTGGATATTATTCATCAACTTTTGGTAAAAAGTTATCGTTGGCTTTCTTAGGTTGCTGGTAGTTCTAGTCTGATCAGAGTGATTAACTTGTGGACTATACATAACATAATAAAAAAAATCTTTCTCGTGATGCTACTACTTTTGATTGCTAAACAAAAGTTCAATTCTACATGCATGAAAAATTAAGAATTTTGGGTGTTAACCTATATAAATCCATTTGTTAATCATTTTGCTTGGGTCCGCAATTTCCCTTCTTAGATTGTTTGGTTGGTAGTTTCTGTTCAAGGTTGGATTATAATGCACATAGCTTAGCTCTGAGCCCGCCCCAAAGCTGGATTCTTATGGCCTGGTTCGATCTTTCATATATGTGTCCCCTGCCCTTTTACTTTTTTCGCAACACTTGCCTGCTTTTATTTGTGATAGTAACCTTTTGCAGCAGCGACAGGAGTCCCAGGTACACACATTTTATTTTACTGCACTTTACTGCATTTTTAGAGCAACTTTTTACTGTTTTAACTTCTACATTTATTTACAATACCTGCAAGCCCTTAGGGTAGATAACAGTAGGACATATGCTAGGTGGTATCCCGCGGCAGGCACCAATGCAAGAATATTGCATGCTCATATATAAACTCTGAATTTGCAATCATCACAACGAGGAGTTTGTAAATGACTGCAAACAGACAAAGGACAACTTCTGATGACGAATCAAGGCCCGACATGAAATATATTTACATCAACTAAACCTTTCCTTAGTTTAAACAATAACAAATTCATATGACTTCGAGGTGGTTCGTCTAGCACAATGTAAGTCCTCACTTTATTTTTAGGCTTCTACACGAACATATTGTGTAGCTTTAAGTCCTAACTCTCTTTAGGCTCTGAGGTCGTCGTTCAGTTTGGTGTAAATCCTTCTATCATTCTCTATTTATTCATATAATCGTATATCATGCAAATGTAAGTCCAAAATAATAAAATTGACAGGAGTTAACATTTAAATAATATCATCTTCAAAACATAAAGTCAAATAATTGGATAGTTTGTGAAGTTATTGAGGTACTCCTCTAAATCTATGACATCCCATATTCTTCACTCCTTTGGACTCCTAAATAACTGCTCCTGTTTGATCCTTTCCCACTTGTCTTTCCAACTCCAACATTGAAAACTTTACTTTGAAATTTTGAAGAGAACCAATATCTTTATCGAGATTCTTCTTAGGTAATTTTAATTGCCGAATACGTAATTAACTATAAAGACTTGCCTCTATAAAAATTAAAAACTCAGATAAAATAAACTTTATCTAATGTTTATATTAGGTAGGAGAACTTATCGGTCACACATAAAAGGATTACACACCAAACGGATGTCATAAATTATTTAGTTTATATAATCGAGCCCACTGTCGAGTAGTATGTCTATCACTTGGGATAATGTATTGCTTGTGACATCGTGCTCAATTACTTAAACTATTTAATATGTGTGATTTATCCGGTCCGATTTTTTAAAATTAAAATTACACACACAAATATATATATATATATATATATTAAATTAAAGTTAATTCCAAAATTATGGCTGATAAGCATTGAGAGATTAAGGGAGCTAGTCTCATACTACCTAAGAAACCTAAAGCTGTACACAAAAATAACATCAACGAACTTATAGTAAATCCCTACTTTAAGTTATTCAACAGGTGCATTACTCACATACGAACGAAATAACAATATTTTTCGGGCATTTACACGAATGAAGAATTAGTAGTAAGGTGAAGATGAGGGATTCTTACATCTTTATGTGAGAAAAAACGCAAGACACCTTAATCCAACAACCCCAAGAATCGGAAAGAATAATGAACACAGCCGCAAAGATCTTACCAATTGGAATTTCAACAAACTGGAAAAATCCCACTGAACAACAACGAAAGTTTCAACAACAACAAACCATCCACTGGTGGGGCTTTTTGTAGCCAAAGGGAGGATAAGGGCTTAAACTATGCTTACCTGAGGTGAACCAGAACTGCTAAAGATGGGAGAAAATAAAAAAAAGGCTTGTGAGGACGACAAGAATGGGAAGATACATGCGGAGTATTCGAGGCGACCAAGACCGGAGTGAGGACGACGGGAAGGGGGGAAGGCATGAGAGAAGACATCGG